AGAAAGAGAGATATCGTAACTTTCTGGACTCACTGAATATTAAACCTCACCAAAAACAACCATCCTGCACACTAAATTCTATACACTGAGTATAAAAAAACAAAAACACACTTAGAGAAATAGCACCATACTTCACGATGTGTTTAATTAATAGTTTCTGGACCCATGGAGCCCTCATGTCAACTCTCCACCGACAAAAATATAAACCAGCAACCGTCATTCTCAAACAGTCGAGAGGAAAACAACCCCCTTTGGGTAAAACAAAACACACAAATAAGAGAATTGGAGAAATTAAAATGGTGGACGAATACAAGAAAAGAAAATAATATAACCAGACGACATCCGATACCTTTAAAGGCACTAACATCCAAATTATGTCTAATAAACCGACTTGACAATACACACAGTACTTACCCACATCAAATAAAAAGAACAAACATCCCAAATATTCTGACAACTAAAATATATCAAGAGTCCAACCCCAAAACTTACAACATATGTACTCTCCCAGGATGCTGACTGTAAAAATCCACTAGAACACATACCACATCATAAAAACAATGCATAAATTTGACAACAAATAAAAGCCCACTCTCTCGCTCTCACAGAACAAACAATCACCAGGTCAATCATAGACAAACTACAAAAATATCATTATGTACATTATTTCACTCAACGAAACTGTCTTATACAGCACGAGTATGATAAATCTCGTTCACTGATCCTTTTCTATCTTATAGAGAAGACAGGCCTCATATTCACCACTCACACGCATGGCTAAATTATAGGAGCCATGGTTGAAGTGGTCCAGCACAGTGGCATTGGATTTCTCCACACAAACACAGCCACTGACTAAAGGCTTAGAGAAGGAAGCTGGTCGCCAACAGTGATTTCAAATTCCCAACCACAGAAGACTCGCCGACTCCACTCAAAGAAAAACAAAAAAAAACAATCCCAGTGGCCCGCGCCACATGATCCCCGAAATTAAAAGCATAGCCTTACCTACCTCAGACGGTGATTACAAGAACCTTATCCTGGACGGCAAAATAACAAAGTACAATGTCATAGAAGATACTCATCAATAAAATATGGATTTCCTCATATAGCGGGTTATAATCACTCACAACAAGTATGATTTTCTTGCAAATAAATAACAGCCAATAAAAACATTATACCGTACTAACTACATATTTCTAAAATTGCTTGTATTTTTGAATTTGATAGTCTGCAGGGTCGTTTCATAAGGGACAAGATTAATTCAGCTTGTAAATTAAAGTCCAAAAACTTTAATACAATTACTTTAAAGTACAATCTGTATGGTTTTCATGAATCACGGTATTTGCGGTCAATAAAAGAGAACCTGACAAAATCAAGTATTAGTCAGAAAGGACACAATATTTTGTATGAAGTGTTCATTATGCAACGTCCTTCTTATTTGATTTTGAAAATGAATAATCTTGCAAAAAAACAGATGAGTCAAAAATGGTTTATTAAGGCCTTTGCTGACAAAAAAAGAAAGCCATTGTATGGCCTTAAGTTTCTTTCTTTGGTATTCTAATCTAAGAAGACTCCAGATGTCGGTGAGGGATAGGTCCTTGCACAAAACAGAATGGCTGTTTGGATGTTTTTGTCTATTCAATATAATGATAAAACACTGCCATACTTAGAGACCACTACATCAAACTGCTAAGCCGTTCCAGACAGCATGAGTGACTAGTGCGTCACAGAATGTCTCAAGGTTAAAGCAGCCACAATGCCCACATGACCCATGTGGCTCACGTGTGTCTCAGCTGTGGCTGAAGTGAGGCTTCACTGGAGAGAAGAGGCCTTATTACCTATTTTTCCATGAGCTGTGAGGTTGATCTCCACTAGCTCCTGAAGGAAATAGTTGGTGCTTTGGCTGCTAAATGTTTCACTCTGTTCACCAGCTAGTAGCAAACTTTGTCTGCTGTTTGATGCTGAGCAAGTAGTGTACATTGGGTTTATCAGAGCCTTATCAGAGCTGCTTCTACCATAAGAGCAAAACTCACCCATTGGGATAGCATCAAAAAAGTCACATGCATCATTATTCATTCTTTTTTTTTTTTTTTTTCAGGATTGTTCTAGAACAAGTTGAAAGAGGGTACGATGACTTAAAATTGCACAACAGCAGCACAGCTGGAAGCCTGAAAGGAGAATATAGCAGTTACCACTGTTTTTACAAGTCGTGAATTCCAAACTTTCAGTCTCCACTTTCATCTCCCGTACCTTTCTGTAGCGCCACAGCTGGTTCCCCTTCATGCCGTGACAGTCATACAGGGTGACCAGGCTATTGTGGGAGACAGCATCAAAGCAGACCTTCCTTGTGTGCATGGGGTCACCCACCCGAATATCCTCTCTCCAACCAAATGTCAACACCTACAAGGAACACATCTAAACTGTAACACAAATCAGACCTTGTCCCTCTGCTCCTGCTTCCCTCCTCTTACTCTTCCTGAGTTTTTTTTTATCATTTTAAAAGGTTTTCCTTGTGGAGTCTTCCTTTTCAAAATTGAGGGTATGAAGATAGTGTGGCATATGTTGTACAGGTTGTAAAGCCCTTTGCATCAAACTTGTGACTTTTGGCCGATTTGTACTCTATTTATGCTGATCATCTTATCACCTTTGTGCATCACCGCATCTTTGTTAAAATAAAACTTTAGCCTTGGTGAAAGAGATCCATAAGTCTTAGGGGAGCATTGCTGTTGGGAAGAAATGAAATGAGACTTAGCATACAGAGTACATGACATATACAGTACGTCTTCACCTGCAAATGTTGGCATGTGTCCAACCATACAGCATGAATAGAGTATTGTACAAAGACCTCCCATGTCAGGAAATGTGAAACCTAATAAGACATTAGGGGAAGAGTAATGAATGACCCTCACCTGGCCATGACTCCAGGCCACCTCCCCCCGGCCTTTCACACAGCTCTCCAGGCGGATGGGGCTCCCTGACACAAAGTGTTTGATCTCCATACACATCCCGCTACCCATGTTGCGTATCTAAAAAACACAAAGACACGTGGACATGGAGTTACACTGGACAGTCATAGTACATTTATTCGTGGCTAGATTAAGTCTTTCATGGTCTGTGTTTTTAATCAAATGGTCTCAGTCTGGAATATTGTTTTTTTCATAGATCATGTGTGTTGTGGGCCTGCATGGTGAATATCTCCCACTGTATTCTTGTCACTTTACAACCTATAAAAGGACATGTGGGTAATACTGACTTTGGATCTGTGTAAAATAATATTTTAGTTTTCACTCTTATTAGTGTCTGTGTTGAACTTAAACTGAACATCCCGATTTTGTTGTTTGTACCCACAGCAGTTCAGTTGGTTTGGCCCCTAGGTGTACACCCAGGATTCCCTAGTTGTAGCAGGCAGGAGGAGAAGCCAAAAACCCTGTGTTATTGCAAACACGTTTCATCACTGTTTTTTTTGTCTGTTGTTACCACTGGGAATTACTATCTCCAGCT